CCGCACACGACCGAATACATCTCAGCGCATCATCGTTGCCGCATAAGTGGTAGCTCACGTTGCATGGCAGCACGAGAACGCAGTCATCGTTACGAGCAACACGAGCTAGGTAACCTTGTTCTACTACACGCTCATTTAAGACACCTCACATTCTTGGATCATAGCTGAAAAGGTTCTCGACAATGACGAAGACTTTTCCGCCCGCTCACCGTTGTACACACATCTTCATTGTCGTTCCTTTCCGCCCTAAATGGTGAAACGATTGTGACCGAACTTGATTTCCGGACAGGTGTGTGCGAGTCTTGCAGCTTCACAACCCTTGTGTTCACATCGAATGTAAACGAGTGAGGACGAAAGGTGGCAAGACGATCTTGCAAACACTTATGGATGATGCTTTTGCTTTATTATATTGCAGTACCATCCACCTCGTCCTGGTAGACGTTGTACAGTCACACTGCAAAGGTAATGTAAAGCCTGAGACGGGTGTTTCATTCGGTTCAGTGTTCCCTCCGTCAAGATCCCCGGCAATTCTTGTGCTTGCTGTTGTGGACGCAAGCGAGCCAAGCTTTGCGAGTTTGTCGTTTCTCTTACGCTTCTTCGTCTAAATACGCAGCAATGCATCACTTTGCAGTCGCACATGTGCAACGGCAACATCTTTGACCATTTCAAGAAAGTGAATAGTGGCAAAATAGGATAGTTCGTGGCAGCGCCCACCTACGTAATGTTGTACGTCGTCGTACCCGACCAGATAATTCCGCATTAGTTACATAGAACGTGGAAGAAGACGATATTACAGAGGAGCATGTGCCGCATAGGGTAAGTCACATCGTTCAGTTGGGGCCTTATCGCGGGTCGATTCGATGGGCAATCAGGGGCGACGAACTGCAATAACCAATACAATTCGAGTTGACCGCCGCCGTCGCACTTTACTTTGTTCCCTTGTCAATAGCAAAATGGGCGCAGTAGACCCGGGCAAAGCAAGTTGCTATGCAGGAGGAGTGCTGCTGGGAATAGGCTGGTGGATCATGGCAGACGGGGCAGCCCTCTGCGGCCTACCACAACTCGCACATCTCTTTCGACGCGGTGAAGTACCTGCCCGGCATTGTCGCTACACTCGCATTCTTCCTGTGGGTACACATTAGTAGCAGTAGTTAGTCATGCGATGTGTAGACATAGTATGGTATTGCAACAAATGACAAAGGGGGCCCAGTGCAGTGATCTCAGCGGACTGATCTGCTGTTCATTGCTATAGAGTCAGTACAGTGGACTGGAACATGCTGTCAGAGACACTCGCTTTACCTATGGCTCAGAAGTAGCCACTCGCGCTCGGTTCGTGGCCTGTCCATTCCAGCTATAGCCCTATACTTGGCGTCTTTCGATTGTCTCCGATCTGACGTCACCTGCTATCGTACTGTAGATGCTTCGTGGTACTTTGCATGGCTGTGTCAGTGGCTGCACTGGTAAGGGTTCCGTGCTCGTGTTCACGCACGCGTATGTGGGCAACGAGTACAAGGAGTCGACGTGGCCGGGCGTTGCGATCGTGATACAGAACGGGCTCATCGTTATGGGTACTTTCGTCATGAGAGCTGGTACGATCGCTGCAGCATCGACGTACTAGGGTTGCAAACGCTGGTTGCTATCGCGCTCGGCTATCTGGAGCCCCACGGGGAGCAGATGCAGTGGTCGTCAATGGACGAGCAAGTTTCCGGAGACACTCAGTCAGGTTTTCGGGACACAATTGAATTGTTCGATGTGATATGGTGTATATGCCGTCGATACTATGTCGATCTGAGCAGGCTGAATACTGCGTGTGGACCGACGCTAACAGCGAGCGCTTTAGTCGTGCAGAGAATAGCGATAAGCAGTAAGTAAGGCGCACAAAAATGGAGCTATGTTACTCATCTGACTAGAGCGTCTACTGTTCCTATCGAGTGTGTGTTAGCAAAGTACTCTTCTCCTTCGTTTTGCACGTTGACCATCTGCACCAGACGACGTCAACCAGAGGATACAGAAGCGGGTGCGACGCAAAGCCACTTGTTCGGGACCGTGTCCATGTCGGTGCGGCGCAGACACTGACAGGCTTGCGAGCGAATAGCAAATAAAGTGACCATTGGGCGAGATTGCTATACCACGCGTCACTCCTGCCATTACTGCACTTTGTACGCGTTGCGAACGCAGAGACCTTTACGAGGCAGACCTCTCTTTTTCTATCGTCCTTAAGCCCTTCTGATCGGTCTTTCAGTCATCGCACTGGTCATGTGTCAGCAATTGTGTTGAGGTCACATACGCAGATGCAGGCGATAGAGTCGCTGAACATCAAGTCGGACTTGCGCTGGTCCCACGTGCCATAAAGAGCTCAAGCGGTCCGCGCAGGTTGAGGCGGCGATCAACTCTGGTCAGTGATTGGCTCGCGCGGTTGAAGTCGTGTATTAATTTAAACATCCACCCGATCTAATCCATTTTATAATCGAATCGCGTCGTGTAAGTTGATGTCGGCCATGATTTTCGAACGCTTTCCTCCTCTCCCGCGCGTCACGCAGCCCGTCTGCCCATTGTCCGTCACGTCTCAACGCGACAGCCCAACTCGATTCAACCGCCCGACTCCACCGCTGCGCTTCGATTGCGAGCACCGCTGCGTCCACTCGACGGGTGCCGTTGCCCCCAATGCATTTTAGCCACTCACCACAATCACTTCTCCTGTCGCTCGGTGATTGGTCAACCGCAGCTTCTCGAACGTCCCCGAACGTCGCCTGCAGTGCCCGCTCTCGCCAGTCATTCGCACTTTTTCATCGGCGGCCAGCGCACTCTCATAATTAATACCCAACACCCGCCCCACCTCATCATGACTGAGGTACGCCCACCCCACTCCACTGGCCGCGTTGTTTCTGTTTGTTCCCCCCACTAACTATACTCTCCCTCTTCCTCTCTCTCTGTATGTATATGTTTCTCTCTCTGTATGTATGTGTCTCTATAGCCCACCGCTGCCGACTGGAAGGCCAAAGGCAACGCAGCGCTCAGCAGCGGCCGCGCCCAAGAGGCCGTCGACTGCTACACGAACGCCATAGCCCTCGACCCGAGCGACCACGTGTTCTACTCGAACCGCTCGGCCGCTTACCTGTCGCTGGACGACGCCGTCCACGCGCTCGACGACGCCGCGTCGTGCATTGCGGCCAAACCCGACTGGGCCAAAGGCTACAGCCGCAAAGGCGCTGCGCTGCACGCGCTCAGGCGCTACGACGAGGCCGTGGCTGCTTACCAAGAGGGCCTGAAGCTGGACAAGGACAATGCCGCGTGTCGCAGCGGGCTCGACGAGGTGGAAAAAGCACAGGCTCAAGCACAAGCAGCAGATGCAGCAGCACGTGGCCAGTCGTTTAACCCGCTGGCCAATGCCTTTGGCCCCGACCTGTTTGGCAAGATGGCGACCAACCCGCGACTGTCGCCGCTGCTGAGCGACGCGGCGTTTGTCCAGACGCTGCAGGCGATCCAGCGCGATCCGTCCACGATGAGTGAGCACTTGAAGGACCCGCGCGTGTTGACAGTGCTGGGTGAGCTCATGGGGCTCAATGTGAACATGGGCGGCAGTGACGAGGCCATGGATGAGGACATGTCTGCTGCTGGTGCTGCACCAACAGCAGCAGCCGAGTCGCAGACGACAATGGACTCGGACCCCAGTCCAATGGAGGACGACTTGACGGACGAGGAGAAGACGGAGCGAGCGAGGAAACGCGCTGCGGAAGACGCCAAGCAACGCGGCAATGCGTTGTACAAGCAGAAGCAGTTTTCCGAAGCTATTGCGTGCTACCAGGAAGCGATTGACCAGGACGCCAACAACATGTCGTACTATAGCAACTTGGCTGCGGTCAAGCTGGAGATGGGACAGTATGACGCCTGCATTGAAGACTGCAAGTACGTAACAAGGAGGAGTGTTGCACGAGGGATGCGTTGCAATGCTGCAATAGTAGTGGTTGCTGACGCCAAATGTATTGTATTGCTCTGCCGCTGCTGTTGATGATGATGGCAGGAAGGCGATTGAAGTGGGGCGCGCCAATCGTGCCGACTATGCGCTGATTGCCAAGGCGTACGTGCGTATTGGCAACGCGTGCGTGAAGAAGGGCGAGACAGAGGAAAACTTGACCGCAGCTATCGAATCGTACGAAGGCGCGCAGATGGAGAACCGCTCCAAGACAGTCGAGCGCACAATCAAGGCGCTGCAGACGAAGCTGCGCAAGGCCAGGGAGCTAGCGTACATTGACCTTGACAAGGCGCTTGCAGCAAAGAATGAAGGCAACGAGTTTTTCAAGAATGGCGAGTTTCCTCAAGCCGTGGAGCGCTACACGGAGGCCATCAAGCGCGACCCGTCGTGTGCCGTGTATTACGCCAACCGCGCGGCGGCGTACACGAAGCTGACGTCGTTCAACGAGGCAAAGAAGGATTGCGAGAAGGCCATTGAGCTTGACCCCCAGTATGTGAAGGCGTACTCGCGCATGGGTGCGATTCAGTGCTTCATGAAGGAATTCCACAAGGCTCGCGAAAGCTACGAGAAGGGTTTATCACTGGACCCGAATCACCAAGAGTGTCTCGACGGTCTGCGAACAGTCATTAACAAAATTCAAAGCGGAGAAACGGACGAAGAGCGTGCGCGGCACGGAATGGCAGATCCGGAGATACACGCGATTTTGCGCGACCCGGTGATGCAGAACGTGCTGATGGATTTCCAGTCGGACCCTGTTGCCGCACAGCGTCACATGCAGAACCCGGGGATCATGGCCAAGATTGAAAAGCTGATAGCCGCCGGTGTGGTGCAGACCAAGTAAAGGTCGTAGGTAACAACGTGTGTGTCCGTCGCGTCGGCCGTTAGATCTTCGCAATCCGAGGAGCGCTACTTCTCTGATCAATTCAAATGTCTGATCACTCGCCCTTGTTGTTGGACGCAGCTGCTGCGACTGCACTGCTGCAGCAGTTTCCTCCTGTCCGACAGACAATATCAATCAGACGATAGTTGTGGGGCTGTAGGCAACTGGGTAGCAGGACAAACCACGTGCGGTATTGTCAGCTTTCCATCTGCTCAAATGTCGCCAATGTCGAGGGACGAGCCCATTGTGCGCTATCTCTCTCCTTTCGCTCACCACAGAAAGAGGCGAGACAGCAGCAAGTGAAACAGACAATGGCAGCAAGTGGGCTAGACACGCCTTTTTGGCCCTTTTGTGCCCAATGCTAACTTACCAAATAGCTCCCAGCTCCCACCGTGTATCTACTAAATCGTCTTGATCTGCAGCTATAAGTACTCGCAGTTTACATTTTACACATGTAAGTCGTATATACAGACGTTGTAGGCGAGCCCAGACTCATGACAGGATCTCTAGACAACACCTCCGCCTTCTCGAGTTGTAGACTTGGCAATGACGAGATGTCCACTACTGTTGTTTACCACAACCATGTCAAGTCTAACTCGACGAGCATCACGGCACAAAGTCCAAGAAACGCGACTACTATCACGACCACCACGTTAACTACAACTGAGGTGTAAGCGTCGAAGAAGTTGTCAGAAGCTTTGTTTGGTTTGACAGAACATAACGTACTTATAACATATAAATTAATAACAAATAATCGAGAGAGGTGTTTAGGTGCATTGGACAATGACAAGATATAATGTAGAAAAGAACAGAGAGTTGGGAAAAGTATTACATTGGTTTGAACGCTACGTCTAAGTCCACTTGAACTAGAGTAGAAAAGCTTTGGTATATAAAATCGAGGGGAGTAGGAGTTGACAGTCTGAACTCTGAATAACCAGCACCTACTGTGAGGGGTGTATGCGACGACCATCAGCTAGGACCTCTTGAACACCACGTGGATGTTCAATACTGTATTGGAGCGTATGACGAGCAAACTACGTTGATCACAGCTACCCGTTCTCAAACAATGGACGGCGAAGATAATAGGGGATCAGCTATCTAGCTCGAAACTACACGCCTTAGCGCCGGGAGATAGTTACGAGTACAACATGTTCAAGTTGACAAAGTACTTTCCTCAGGAGCTAATTTGGACGTGAGCTCTTTGCGGCAGGAGGCGCGGTCCGACGGACACGCGGGAGTTGTGGAACGGCATCGATGATGATTGCAAAATCATTCAGGGATAGCAAAGGAAGACATGGTGGGCAGACGACAACCCCGGTATCTATGTAACATCTTCAATCATTTGGAACTACTCAGGCTGCACAGCACTATCTAGACTCAAGTCGAAGGGGAGTTGAGCTTCAGGATCAGTGGGTAATGTACAGTCCCAACTGTCAGGAGTAACACCAAGGCGATTAAATATGACATCTCAGCAGCGGCGGATAGCACTAACGTCAATGGGCAGATCCTGTACGGGCTCCTTCTCAAAATGAAGACGATGAGCTGCGGTGAGGTCTCCAACTCTATTCACCTGTTCCTTTTCGACCGAACTACGGCGAAGGAGTTGAAATTGACGGTAGTGTCATTCAAAACGTATGGCATACAAATTGCACATTAAGCATGTGGCTTCCGCGAAGTCAGCGCAACAATGGCGTGTCTATCCACGCCATCGGAACATGGAATACGAGGTTTGCCTGTACAATTTTTCTCGCTTGGTGGAAATAGG